CTCAGAATTAGATGATTCACAGGGAGGCTGTTGTGTACCTGGGATAATGAAGAAATTCCATAAATCCCATAAATTTCCATAGATAATGAAGAAATTCCATAAATTTCCCTAGAATTGGCTTCTCTCGGGACAGGAACGCGGTTCATTTTGCAGCCGGGAAGCACTCCCGGAGTCCTGGGGATCAGCGGAACAGAAAGAGCCGAGGTAGAATCGCGCAGAGGACTCTGACCAGTGCAGGCTCACTACACAGTAACCTCGTCGGAGCGCCTGGTCCTGCGCGTGTGAACCGGCCCCCTGCCAGGCGTTACCTAGCAACAGCGTCCTAGAGTCTGGCCCCAGGGACCAACCAGCGCAGACCCAGTTATTTCAGTGATGGAGTGGTCCAATCACTGGGCGCTGCCAGAAGCAACGTCCTCTAGCCAATCTCCGCCAGCGCCAATACGGGCTTAGGAATTGTAGGAGCTGAGCGTTCGGAGCTGACACTTGACAGATAAGGTCAACCGGAACGAATAACAACAAACTTCCGAGTGCATCTGAATGACGGTTGTGAAGGCAGGTCGCTGCCATATTCTCTTGGGGCATTTTCCGGTCCCACTCTGAGTACCAGAGTGACCCACGATGCCGTGATTCCTCCGTTGCAGCCGGAGCTTGGCCCCACGTCCGGGCCAGCTCAGACGCCGGGCCCAGCGGGGCAGTGTCTCCTCAGCCCGGAAAAGACAGTGACCCTGGGGTTGGAGCATCCAGGATCTGGGGACTGGAAGAGTCCAAAGCGCCGCCTCCAGCCCTGCTCCCCATCTGGAGAGCAGAACCTGGACCGGAGCCGAGGAGGCTCGCCGCGGTGGTCGTGTATTTTTTCTTGGGGGAATGGAGAAATCTGAGGCTCAGAAGGCCTTGTGCCGGATGGGATGCCGGAGACCTAAGGTCACTTGGGGGCGCTCGCTCTGCCCATTTTTGCTGCTCACTCATTCATTTTTCACAATGTATCTAAACCAGTTCTTGGGCGACAGCTGCAGCCACGGAAACCACCCAGACGTGCAAAAGGCCTAGAAGGGATGGGGGACAGAGGGGGTAAAGTGGCGGGGCTGAGACTTAGGGAGGGACTGTTCTAGAATGCCTCCTGGAAGCCTTGGGGTTTTTTGCTTTGTTTTTTTAAATAATTTACGTAACCCTCTTTCCTTGTCTAAGACTACAACATAGTTGGGTTTTTTTTTTAAATAGCTTTATTGAGATATAATTAACACACCATAAACTTCCTCCCTTTAAAGTAAACAATTCAGTGATTTTTAGTATATTCAGAGAGTTGTACAACCATCACTACAATCTAACTCCAGAATGTTTTCATCACCCCGGAAAGAAACCCTTTAGTCATCACGATCCTGTTCTCCCCCACCCCCTTCAGCCCCTGGAAACCACTGATCTACTTTCTGTCTACTGATTTGTCATTCTGGACATTTCATATAATTGTAATCATAAGATATGTGGTCTCTTGTGTCTGGCTTTTTTTCACCTGGCATACTGTTTTGAAGGTTCATCCATGTTGTTCCATGAATCATTTTTTAAACATTTTTAATATATTTTATTTTTTAAAGTAATTTAGGGTTAAGTTGAAAGTACTGAGAGTTCCCATAACCCTCTACCCCCATCTTAGCCTCGCTACTATCAGCATCACATACCAGATTGGTACATTTGTTATAGCCTATGGATCTACATTGATATGTCATTATTACCCAAAGTCCACAGTTTAAATTAGGGTTCAGTTTTGGTTTTGTACATTCTATGGGTTTTGGTAGAGGCATAATGACATGTATCCACCAATCATTATAGTATCATTACCCTAAAAATCTTTTTTTAAAAGATTTTATTTATTTATTTGAGAGAGAGAGAATGAGAGATAGAGAGCACGAGAAGGAAGAGGGTCAGAGGGAGAAGCAGACTCCCTGCTGAGCAGGGAGCCTGTTGCGGGACTCAATCCCGGGACTCCAGGATCATGACCTGAGCCGAAGGCAGTCGCTTAACCAACTGAGCCACCCAGGCACCCAGAAATTGACAGTCTTATAAAATGGCTGTGCTAGTGGCTTTTTTTTTTTCTTTTTCAAAGTGAGCTTTACACCCAATATGGGGCTTGAACAAACGACCTTGAGATAAAGAGTCATATGCTTTACTGACTGAGCTGGCCAGGCGTCCCAATACTAATGGCTTTTTCAATGAATTCCTCAAGAGTTTGTATATCATGTCATCTACAGATAGTCTTACATCTTTCTTTCTAATCTGGATGTTTTTATTTTATTTTCTTGCCTAATTGCTCTGGCTAGAACAGTACAATGTAATGGAATAGAATTGATGAGAATAATTGGTGAGTAGAATAGAAGTGGCAAGAGTGGACTTCCTTGTCTTGTTCCTGATCTTAGGGGGAAAGCATTCAGTCTTTCATCAGGTAGAGGACATTTTCTTTGAATCCTAGTTTTTGAGTGGTTTTATCATGAAGGGGTGTTGGATATTATCAAGTGCTTTTTGCATGTCTGTTAAGATGATCATGTGGGTTTTGTCTTTATTGATATATGATGTATTATATTAATTGATTTTCAGATGTTAAACCAACTTTACATTTCTGGGTTAGTCCTGTGCAATTCTGGTATATAATCTTTTTTATACGTTGCTCGATTTGGTCTGTTAGTGGATTTGGTTAAGTATTTTTATTTTTATTTGTGGTAAAATACACACAACATAAAATTTACCATCTTAACCATTTTTTAACTGTACATTTGCATTGTTGGGCAACCAATCTCCAGACTTTTCTCCTCTTGCAAAACTGAAACTCTATACTCATTAAATAACCCCCTTCCCCCCTCACCTCAGCCTGTGCCAATCACCCAACCACTATCACAATCACCCAACCTCCTGCTTCTATGAATTTGATACTATAGAAGACACCTCATATAAGTGAAATCATACAGTATGGCTTATTTCACTTTGTATAATGTCATCAAGGTTTGTTTTTTAAGATTTTATTTATTTGACAGAGACACAGCGAGAGAGGGAACACAAGCAGGGGGAGTGGGAGAGGGAGAAGCAGGCTTCCCGTGGAGCAGGGAGGCCAATGTGGGGCTTGATCCCAGGACCCCAGGTTCATGACCTGAGCCAAAGGCAGATGTTTAACGACCGGGCCACCAAAGCGCCCTTAATGTCTTCAAGTTCAGTCCAAGTTGTAGCATGTGTTAGAATTTCCTTCCTTTTTCAGCTGGATGGTATTCCATAGCATGTTATCTACCACATTTTGTTTCCCCATTCATCGGTTCACAGACATTTGGGTTCCTTCCATCTCTTGACTGTTGTGAATTTGCTGCTATAAACGTGTAGACAAATAGCTCTTCAAGGCCATACTTTGAATTCATGGGGCACATACCCAACGTGGAATTGCTGGGTCATAAAGTAATTTTTAAATTTTTTAGAACCCATCATACAGTTTTCCATAGTAGCAGCACCATTTACATCTCCACCCACAGTGCACAGGATCCTAGTTACTCCACATCCAGGCCAGCACTTCTTCTTTTCTTTTATTCTTTTTGTTTTGTTTTGTTTTTGTTTGTTTGTTTTATTTTGTTTGTAGTAGGCCTCCTAATGGTTTGGAGAACAGCACAGCTTTTTTGAATATTGAACAGCTTTATGTAATCATCCGTTTTAAACAACTGCTTAAAAAAAAGATTTATTTATTTTAGAGGGAGAATGCGGGAGGATGTGCTCAAGCATGGGGAGGGGCAGAGGGGGAGAAGCAGACTCCCCACTAAGCGGGGAGCCCCACACGGGGCTCAGTCCCACCACCTTGGGATCACGACCTGAGCCAAAACCAAGCGTCAGACGCTTAACTGACGGCGCCCCCCCAGACACCCCTAAACAACTGCTTTTAATGTAATTTCTCTAGCTCTTTCTCCAGGTTTAAGTCAGTGAGGAGCTATTTGCCTTTTTTCTTTCTTTCTTCTTCCTAACTGATTCGCAATGCTTGTCTTTTTCTGTCTTTCTCAACTCCGCTGAGAGACTGTCTGATAATTCCCTGGAGTGAGTCGGTGCTATCACTGTGGCTTTCTCAACGGTAGATCCTGTGTGAATCTTCACAGGTTTACCAATATGTTGGGAAAAGGGTGTCACCTGAAGTGAAATATTCAAGAGGCCGATTGGCCTGCCTTCAGATGCTTCTAGAAGTCATACTAAGCTAGGTGTGAAGAAGTCTGCACTGCATTATGATGTCTTTATTACCTTGGGACTGCTGGCTCCAATCCGGGGCTTTTCCAGCCCTTGAGGCACCCAGACCTTTGTATATTTGTGTGTCTACCTTAAGGGGTTGTAAGCACCGCTGAGAGCGGGCACCCTTAGAGCCACCTCATTCCAGTCCCCAGCATTATGTCTGGAGATGCCGCGTTTAATCGTCACCAGACACGCAGAGCTGCAGGCGCTCAGGGATTAAACCTTGGGTCCAACCCAGCGGGGACCTGAGAATCTGGAAGGCTGTGGAGCGCCATGTAACCTCCGGGGCCGAGCAGACTTTGTTTAGGTCCCGGCTCTTGACCCGGCTCCCAGAGCTGTACTCAACACAAGTTCGCGTTCAATGCAAGGGGGAGCGTCGTTCAAGTCTGAGTGCGAAGGCGGCAGGGAGCCCCCGCAGCGACGCAGTCGGGGCTCTGGAGAGACCGGGGCCGAGCGGGCCCGGGAGGAGGAGCGGTGCTGTGGGCCCTCGGGCAGCCGGGCTGCGCCGCCCCGTCCCTTCGCACGCGCTGCCCGACACCGCGCGGGGCACCGAGCAGGTGCTCGGCGGGTGAGCGCCCGGGGTTCGCTGGGGCTCCAGGAGGAAGGCCGGCTCGCACGCGGCCGCCGGCTTCCGCGTAACGGAGTGGTTCGCCGAGACCCAATCAGAACGCGGCTCCTGGCTTCCGGCCCCGCGCCACCCAATGGCCGTGCACGGGAGGGAGAAGGGCGTGAAGCCCAGCGGTGCCATTATCCTTGAGGGCGAAGGGTTTCCTGCCCCGTTGCGGCCGAGCGTGTCCCGTGCTTCCACCGTGGCAAAAGGCATCCTGCAGTGCTCTAACCCAGGTCCTTGCAGGACCCGTAAGAATAACTCCGGAGGGGTTTGCACTGGCCTCACGAGAGGCTGGTCCCGGTGCCCTTCGGGCCTCCTGGGCGGCCCTCTGAGCCCGAGCACCGGCCGCGTCTAGAACCCCGGACCCGCCGGCGAACCGGGGTGGGGGTGGGGGGTAGGCTCTGGACCCATGGCGCCGCCCCGGGTCCCGCGCCTCGCCGGCGGGCAGGAAAAAACCCAGTCGGGACGAGGGAGGCCGATCGCCGTGAGCTTCGCGGACGTGGCCGTGTACTTCTCCCCCGAGGAGTGGGGCTGTCTGCGGCCCGCGCAGAGGGCCCTGTACCGGGACGTGATGCGGGAGACCTACGGCCACCTGGGCGCGCTCGGTGAGCCCCGGCCCGCCCCTTCTCTCCCTTTTTGTGACACGGAGATTTTTAGACTTCGGGTCCCGACGCGCTTGAGTGTCTGTTGTTGGGGAGGGTCTTCTCCGCTCGGGTTCAGAAGGCTGTACTCACCCCTGCGGAGGAAACGCCTTATCTAGGCTCCATCCTCTTACCCTGTCCGCTCTCGGCCTCTCCTCCCTTAGGATTCGCAGGCCCCAAACCGGCCCTCATCTCCTGGCTGGAGAGAAAGAAGGAGGTGTGGAGCCCGGAGGCCGAGGATTCCGAGGAGGGGGCGAGGCACCCAGGATCTGGGCTAGGTGAGGAAGGTGGGGCTGAGCCGGACTGCAGCTCTCGTGGGAGCGAGCCAGGGCAGGCCGTTTCTTCCCGCAGCCTCCTTCCCACACACAGCCTCTCTTACAGAGCCCAGTTGGGAATCCTCTGAGTCTTCTCTTCCAAAGTTCCCTTTCCCAGACCTTGGGTCAAGGACAGCGAGGTTGGAGTTAGAAATTTAGTGAGCCTTGCTCTCTCATGTTCCCAGAGTGTCTGCATGCCTCAGAAAGGGGCCAGACGTTCACTTCGTGACGCCGGTAATTTTGGCGCAGGTAGTGACTGCCGGTTTTATATACACTGACCTGCAGTCCATTCCAGTGCCTGGAGAAATCGCCGTCCCTGCTGAAATGCCCGCATTTAGGGCCTTTAACACAGCAGGTGATTGCTTGTTTCCAACAGGTAGTACGATCCCTCACCTTGTGACAAACTGCAATTTTCCAAGCCCTACATGAGGGGGGACTAAAGGGCCTGGCGGCCATGGAGTGGGGAGCTGCTGCCTGAGATGAGACTGGGGGGCTCTGTAACAGGGTCTAGAACAGAGAAACACCCCCTTCATCTCCATCCCCCCACCGTGAGGGAAAACACAGGCATGGTCGTACAAGCACTCAACAATTCTGTTTCAATTCTCTTGTCTCTTTAGAAAGCAAGAAAAAGAACGAACCCAGCAGCAAAATTGGGGCCGAGGAGCTTGAGGAAGCCCCTGTGAGGAACGCGCCAGCGGTGCAGGCCAGGCTGGTTCCTAGTTTCAGGGACTTTCGCCATCCATTGCCTCAGCTGTCTGCACACACAGAGCAGCAGTGCACCCAGACTCCCAAGAGGCCCTACCCCTGCCTGGAATGCAACCGTTCTTTCAGCTACCCCTCCCTCCTAGCCAGCCACCAGCGGGTCCACTCGGGGGAGCGGCCTTTTCCATGTGGCCAGTGTGGACGTTGCTTCCGCCAAAGAGGCAACCTGGCTGTCCACATGCGCATACATACAGGGGAGAAGCCCTTCTCCTGCCCAGACTGTGGGAGGCTCTTTGCCTACCCCTCCATGCTGGTCAGGCATCGGCGAATCCATTCTGGAGACCGTCCATATGTCTGTGGACCTTGTGGGGTTCAGTTCTCCCAGAGGGCTCACCTCGTCCAGCACCAGCTGCTTCATACAGGGGACAAGCCCTATTCATGTCCAGACTGTGGCCGCTGCTTCCGCCAGACTGGGGCGCTGGCCATCCATAGACACAGACATGGTGGGGAGAAGCCGTATGTGTGCACTGAGTGTGGACGCCACTTTACACACCCTTCTCTCTTGGCTATCCACCAGCGCACCCACACTAGGAAGAAGCCCCATATCTGTTCTGACTGTGGTCGGAGCTTTGCCTACCCCTCCCTCCTGACCAGTCACCAACGGGTCCACTCTGGTGAGCGCCCCTACCCTTGTACCCACTGCAGTGCCCGCTTTGCCCAGCAAAATAACCTGCTCCAGCATCAGCTCATTCACACAGGGGAAAAGCCCTATGCGTGCCCCGACTGTGGCCGCTGCTTCCGGCAAAGCGGCTCCCTGGCTATCCACAGACGCACACATACAGGGGAGAAGCCCTACTCCTGCTCCGAGTGTGGGCACCAATTTACCTCTTCCTGTGTCCTCAATAGCCACAGACGCATCCATTCTGTTGAGAGGCCCTTCCCTTGTTCCCAGTGTGGGAAAACCTTTAAACGAAAGAGTGCCCTGGAAGCCCACCAATGGATCCATCGTACAGGCGGGACAAGTCAGAGGGGTGACAGACCTCTGTTACCACCCCCAGCCCAGGCTTGTGTCCCTGAGGGTCAGGAACCGTCCGTACACTTCCGACATTTTCCCGATATGTTCCAGTAGTGTGAGTGTCTGAGTAAAGCAGTGTGAAGGAACAAATGTTTTAAGGTTCTCCCTCATCAAGTGTTGGGAAGGAGGTGCACAGAGGGCAAGGGATAGGAGAGGGGAGAAAAAGGGAATCAGGCAAAATGGAGATGGTGGGGGCTGAGCCACATCTGGAATCTATGCAAGACCTGGGAGCTGAGAGGCAGGACATCCGGAGTGAAGAACCTGTCAGAAAAAGCATGAGACTCCTTCAGTCCGCTCCCAGCCCGGACTGCTGACCTCTGACCTTTCAGCTCCGGTTTCCCCTGACTGTAGATCTCAGGAGAACAAACCTCCTTGGACCAGGAGCCATAATGTAAGAGGAGGATCATAGGCTTTGAACCAGTTTATCCCATGTTCAATCTTGGCTCATCCCTTGCATCATCAACATCTCTCTGACTATAAAATGAGTACATTAATACTGCTCCCGAGGTGGTTGTGAGGATTAAATAATATATATTCAGTCAGAACTGTCTAGTACAATATTTCTCTTGTGTATATCCTTCCAAGCTTTGCACGTTACACTAGTTTCTTGAATATTGAGGACAGCCTTACCTAATCACCCCTGCTGAAAACAACGGCTTTTAATGTAAAATTCCTACATCTTTTACATGTCTTAGCAAGTTAGAAACTATTACTGCCTTATTTTTTCCTTAAGGGATTCACAGTGCTTATCTTTTCCTGTGCTCTATTCAGAGATGAGAGACTGTCTCATAATTCCCTGCAGTGTGTCACTATGGCTTAGGCACCCAGACCTTTGCTTATGTATTAGGTCTCTGTCTCACCCAAGTTGCAAGCACCGCTGAGAGCGGGCACCCTTAGAGCCACCTCATTCCAGTCCCCAGCATTATGTCTGGAGATGCCGCGTTTAATCGTCACCAGACACGCAGAGCTGCAGGCGCTCAGGGATTAAACCTTGGGTCCAACCCAGCGGGGACCTGAGAATCTGGAAGGCTGTGGAGCGCCATGTAACCTCCGGGGCCGAGCAGACTTTGTTTAGGTCCCGGCTCTTGACCCGGCTCCCAGAGCTGTACTCAACACAAGTTCGCGTTCAATGCAAGGGGGAGCGTCGTTCAAGTCTGAGTGCGAAGGCGGCAGGGAGCCCCCGCAGCGACGCAGTCGGGGCTCTGGAGAGACCGGGGCCGAGCGGGCCCGGGAGGAGGAGCGGTGCTGTGGGCCCTCGCGCAGCCGGGCTGCGCCGCCCCGTCCCTTCGCACGCGCTGCCCGACACCGCGCGGGGCACCGAGCAGGTGCTCGGCGGGTGAGCGCCCGGGGTTCGCTGGGGCTCCAGGAGGAAGGCCGGCTCGCACGCGGCCGCCGGCTTCCGCGTAACGGAGTGGTTCGCCGAGACCCAATCAGAACGCGGCTCCTGGCTTCCGGCCCCGCGCCACCCAATGGCCGTGCACGGGAGGGAGAAGGGCGTGAAGCCCAGCGGTGCCATTATCCTTGAGGACGAAGGGTTTGTGGACCTGGTGCCACGCACTGGGCCCTCCGCAGGGACGTGATGCGCCTGACCCCGGACCACCTGGGCATGATCGAAGGGTCCCAGCGCGCATCGCTGCGGATGCGCCTGTGTTGTTGGGGAGGGTCTTCGCCGCTCGGGTTCAGGAGGCTGTACCCACCCCTGCAGAGGAAGTGCCTTGTCTAGGCTCCATCCTCGCACCCCGCCTGTTGTTGGCCTATTCTCCTTGGGATTCGCAGATCCCAAAGCCGCCTTCGTCTCCTGAAAATGGAAGAAGGAGGCGTGGAGCGCGGAAAACGTCCAGAGGAGGGCGCGAGGCACACGGGATCTGCTCTAGGTGAGGAAAGTGGGGGTGAGACGTTCTGCAGCATCTCTTGGGAGCGAGCCAGGGCAGGCCCTTTCTTCCCGCAGCCACACCTACACCGCACCCTTCTCTTTAAGGACCCCAATTCCTAAGAATCCGATGAACCTTCTCTTCTAAAATTCTCTTTCCCAGACCTGGAGGCTTCCTTGCGTTCAACGGTAGCGGGTCCCTCTGGCCCTAACTAGGGGTTGGGGCAAGGCAGCAGTTGGGGTTTGAGGTCTTTTGCCTTCTTTCCTCTAAGTACTTAGATTATTGCTTCCAATAGAACTTTCCTCAGTTATGGGAATGTTCTATCTGTGCTGCCGAACACAGAAGGCACTAGCCACATGTGGCCATTTAGCACTTGAAATGTGGCTCGTGTGCCCAAGGAAGTGAGTTTTTCAGTAGGCATGGTGCATTTCTGACGGGCCTTGGAAAGAGGCCAGAAGTGCACTTGGTTCGCTGGCCTGCCCCTGTTTCTCAGGGCATATCCTGCCACGGGAAGCTGCCTAGAGCCCTCTGTAGAATTTAATGACTGCCACCTTTCATTTAGGATGAAAACAGGTGTTTTTGTGTGCTCCAAAGGCACTGAGGTGTGGGTTTTGTTTTTTTTGTTTTGTTTTGTTTTTTTGAGAAATGTTTCCACTGAAATGTCCATATGTAAGGCCTTTAACCAGGGAGAGGTGCCAGCTTCCCTCTGAAAAAAATTCAACCCTTCTTTATGAGAACGCGCTACAGTTCTGGAGGCCTGCGGTGAGAAGGGATGGTACTCTTTCTGAAAAGCTCCAGCACCAGCTTATCCACACGTGAAAGAGGCCCTAGCGGTGCTGGGGCTGTTCGTGGGGCTTCTGCCACAGGCACCCTTGGCCATTCACAGGTGCACACACACACACCCAGGAAAGTACCCCTGCCCAGAATGTGGCATCTGCTTCTCCTGCTCCTCCCTCCTGCTCAGCCATGGGCACATCCACTCTGATGGCACTGAGCGTGGGGAAAGCTCCCAGGGAAAGTTTGCCCTGAAAGCCCACCAGGGGATCCATTGGGCAAACATGGAGAAGCCAAGGGGCGCCTGGGCGGCTCACTCAGTTAAGTGTCTGACTCTTGATGTCGGCTCAGGTCATGATCTCAGGGTCCTTGGGATCAAGCCTCATGTCGTGCTCTCTGCTCAGCGGGGAGTCTGCTTCTCCCTCTCTCTGTGTGCTCTCTCTCTCTCATAAATAAATAAAATCTTAAAAAAAAAAAAAAGATGAGATTCCTTCATTATTCATGGCATGACTTTCTCCCAGGACTAACACCGCTTGCTGGAGTCTGGGTTCATGGTGCAATGACATTTGAGGCAAAGGTTGGGTTCCAGTTAGTCTATAAGGTGAAGTCCATGTGTGCTGTAATCGAAGGTTGCACTGCCAGTTACTTCTCTCTCACTGAGTATGCAACAAGAAGAAATTAATCTCAAAGCCTTGCACCCAGCTTAGAGCTGCCAGTGGAATGCAGAGGACATTCTAGGTTCAAATCTCACCCCTGCCTTTACTAACAGGTTTTGGGCAAGCTGTGCAACTGTCTGATAACTGTCCTCATAAGGACTTTGAAAGGTGAGTTTCTTTTTTCTTTTTTTCTTTAAGTTTTTATTTATTTAAGTAATCTCTACACCCAACATGGGGCTCGAACTCACAACCCCGAGATCAAGAGTCACACACTCCTCCGACTGAGCCAGCCAGGTGCCCCTGGAAGGTGAGTTTCAATTGAGATCATCTATATCGATGTGCCTACAAGGTGGCACCTGGTACTTAGTTGGCCCTCAACACCATTTCCTTTTGTCCAAAACAAGGTGTCTTTAGTCTTTATGTGGCCTCTTGGTGTGTAGACTCCCTAGATCTTCTCCATCCTTCTCTACAGTGGGCAGTCTTCAAGAGGAGCCCTGCTTGTCCCTGTGCCCAATGTGGATCCAGGAATTTATACAGAAAAGGAGCAAGAACCTCTGCTCTCACATTAAGTCCTGGGTGCTTCTCTCTCCAAAATATCTCCCACAGTTAAGAGCCTCTAACTCTGCCTGATTCCTCGGTCCTGCCTTAGTAGCTCCCACCAGGACGGTGGCAAGCCAGGCCAAATGGGGCCTTCCCAGCCCAGGGCCAAAGGGCTAGGCTGCACCTCAGCCCAGCCTGCCCTCCCATTTCCTGCTTATGGGAAGAGGGCTCAGCACCTTTTCACCTCAGTAGTTAATCATCCTTCCTGTGCAATGTCAGCATCATTGACAGTACATCATTACCATTTAGGCAAAATGTCCACAGATTCCTTTCCAGCCTTCTGTTTAGTCACTTTCTTCCAAATGAAATGGTTTGCTGTCCATTGGCCTTTGTATTCCCTTGGAGCCTAAGTTCTTCTTATTTCTCCAAACTGAACTATGTATAGGCAGAAAGCATAGACACAAAGCTATCAGTTTGCCGTGCAAACAGACTACCAGAGTAATTTTCCGAAAACATTGGAAGGTAATTCACTCCTCTAGACTGATTTGGAGCTCCCCAATGTGCAGGATGAAGCCGTCCAATATCTGGTGCCAACATATCCTTTCGATCCTTCAGTTTTACCCTAACAGTATTTTGTACTGCATCAGAAAGTGTCCTCATTCCCTCCACACTCAGAACTTTCCTGAATTCCTGGCTTTGTACCAGAGATCTTTATGGCCATGGAATTCAGCTGTTTATTCAACAGATGTACATTGAGCACCACTGCCCTCCCTAAATCCTACCCATTCATAAACCAAACTCATTTCCCACCTGATGCATCAATCTGGAAAGTCATTCAGAGGGACTCTGTCTTACTTATTTTGGCAATCTTGACATTCCACCCGCTCCCCCAGTAGTTTGTTCAATAAACCGTCACTGTGCTTGGGACAGAGTAGAACTCAATGTTTACTGCAGTTGTGTGTGTGTTTCCTACTTCCTCTGTTCAAAGTCATCGTCCTTGGAATCTCTTGCTACCTAGGTTATCTTGTGAATTCCTGACATGTTGTCTTCACTCCTTGCAGGCTTTGGGGTAGCGTTTTGCCCATAGCAGGTGCTTTAAAATTTTTGATTAATGGGTTGGAGAGATACGTATGTAACCAGCTTTAGTATGTAGCAAATGGCATATTTCCGACCCTCAGATCCCCTGGGAGATGACCCTGAGCTGGTGAAACCCTGCACACTTACACAGGAGTGGCAGCCGATGGAGTGGGGGCTGACTGGTTCCAACAGCAATTTTCCTATACCTTTCACATACATGCTTGCAGCACTGTTATCAGTTGGAAATGCGTATGCCTCACTCAGCTATGAACTCCATTCAGAGCATGGTGCATGACTTATTTGTAAACTGTCAAGCGCTACGCTTAGTACATTGGACAGATGTGTCATGTAAAATAAGATTGAACCTGAGAAGAGGCCAGGAGCTCAGACTGTGACAAGCGAATTCGGAGAGTGTGGGGGAAGGGAGCCGAGTTCAGCAGTTTGAATAAAAGCCCGGTCAGCCCCGGGTTTAAAATCTTTGTTCCTTCTCCTTACTAGCAGTATCCCTCTGAGAGTTTCCTTATCAGTAGAACCGGATGACGACCATCACTCCATACAATGGTAGCAAAGAAAAAAAGATGTGTTAAGAGGGGAACAGTGCCGGCGCGCAGGAAACGCCAACGT